TCATGTGGTGCTGAGGATTGAACCCACACATGCAAGGCAAACGCTCTACCAACTCAGCTATAACCCCAACCCACAACAGTGGTTTTTTTTTCATAAGAAAAATGAAATGATAGCATCGCCAATAAATGGCTAGAAATGGAGAAAATATGTTAAGTGCCATAAGTCAGACTCAGAAAACCAAAATGTTTTCTCTCATGTGGAAGTTAAAGCAAAACAATGGGAAAAAAGTAACTGGGGAGGGAATAGATATCATAAAAACACATGGGAGTTCAGTGGAGTAGGAGAACAAGAGGGAGGGAGGGAAAAAGGGAATGGGAAAGAAATAAGGAATGAATTTAACAAAATCATATTATTTGTACCAAAGTGAATTTCACTTTAGGTATATGTAGAAAGTACCAATTAAAAATAAATGAAGAAAGAAGTAAAAGGAAATCAGTAGAGTGGAAAGGCAGACTAAAGGAAGTGAGGAGGGGAGGAAATGGGAAGAGAGATGGAAGTTGAAATCAAATTCCTTGCACACGTATGATTTTGTCAAAATGAACCCAAATACTATGTATAATTATAATACTCTAATAAAGTATTTTTAAATATTCTGTTACATCTTAACACTATGAGATACCAAGTAGATAACTGCTCCAAGAAGTCAAGACAGTATTTGATGTCTATAAAGTCTGCAGTAACTGAAAGTTGCCACTAGATGGAGATTTTCCAACTTATTTGTTCCCATCAGAAAATTAATAAAATTCTAAAACTGTGTCATGCTCTAGTCAATATGCTTTTATTAGGCTGTTATTAAAAGTGATGCTCCACCAACTGAAATACCTGGATACTATTACTTTTTTAACTAGAACTTAATGTTTTTAAGACTCAAATAGTATTCAGGGCAATCGCACAGAGTTAATCACATGAAATTTCCTTTTATGTTGCTTATTCCTTTAGTTTCATATTTTACAGGGGAGAATATGAACAGAAAAATACATTTTAAACTTTAAATAACCTTCTAGTTTTCATTTCTAAAACCTGTCAGCACTATTTCTAAAAAGCTCTGGAAATTCTTGCTTACAAAATAAGTATAGCGAAGTGGTTACTGAAATCAGACAGATTTCAAATTCAACTTTCACTTATAGCTATATGAACTTGACAAGTTGTCTTACCTCTGAAAGAAAGGCATGATGGTACATACTTCATATGAAATACTGTAAAGATTAGAAGAGAATATATGTAAAGTGTCAAGTACAATGCCTGGTATAGTGTGGGTGCTGCTCAAGAGAAAGTTTGTTTTAGGATCTAGATGCTCCTTTCACAAAGAAATTATTCTCTGAGATATTGTCAGGACAATATAAGTCTGTTTTCTCACTGCCCTCTTAACTTCTTAGGTTAAGGGAACCATAGCACATTATAATCTGGGCCTTCAGAGCTGAAATATTAACTACTGCATGGAAATAATGGTTTTTCATTATCAGAAATTATCCCAGTTTCACAATCCAAATTTATCCTAAACACAGTTGTCAGAATAATTTTCCTAAAATAGTGATCTCTTTATATCAGTATCATGTCAAACCACCTTCCTGAATCATCGTCTTCCATTGGTATGCAGGATACTGCATTCTTCTGATTTTTCTTCTATCCCTCTCCCATAAATATTTGTTTGTATGTTTGTTTGGGGGTACTTGGGATTGAACTCAAGGGCACTCATCCACTGAGCCACACCCCCAGCCCTATTTTTGTGTTTTATTTAGAGACAGGATCACACTGACTTGCTTTAATGCCACTCTTTTGCTGAGGCTGGCTTTGAACTCACTATCCTCCTGCCTCAGCCTCCTAAACCAATGGGATTAGAGGCCTGCACACTGTTCCCAGCTCTCTCTGATATTTAAATGTCATTTTTTCTTTAGAGTTCATGTCTCTTCTTTTCCTACTTGATCTCATCCCATTCCCTAGTGATAAATATCATCTATATATCAATGAATCTAGAATTTATAAACAATCCAGACTTATCTTTCGAGCTTGAGACTTACAATGGTCACTTCATAATTTCCACTTGAATGTTTCACAGGCTTCTCAAACTTAACATATCTAAAATTAATTTGAACCTCTCTAAACTTTCTTTTCTAACAGTCTCTTCTACTTCTACAAACATTACCCCACACATAGCTACCCAAAAGTTTCTCTTCCTCAACAATAAATAACATACAACCCATCACATCAAGTTCATTGATCCTACCTCCAAATTATAACTTTTCAAAAGAAATCAAATCTCAATGTTTATATTCAAGTTTATGTTTAACATTTCATGTTTAGACTATTACCAGGCATCTTTTTAATTTAATTTTTTTAAGAGAGAAGGAGAGAGGGAGAGAGAGAGAGAGAATTCTTTTTTAATATTTATTTTTTAGTTATCGGCAGACACAACATCTTTGTTTGTATGTGGTGCTGAGGATCGACCCGGGCTGCACGCATGCGAGGCGAGCGCGCTACGCTTGAGCCACATCCCCAGCCCACCAGGCATCTTTTAAATAAATAATAATTATATATACATTTGGGGAGCTACAATGTGATATTTGAATATATGTGTACACTATAAAAATATTACATCAGCCTAATTAACATATCTAACATCTCAGACACATTTTTGTACTGAAAACATATAAAAATCTATTTGTTTAGAAAATCTGAAACACCTAATTACTAACTATGGTCCCATGATGTGCAAAAGATCTCAAAAATTTATTCCTCTGGTCTAGTTGAATCTTTGTACCCTTTGGTAAAAATCCCCCCATTCCCCACTCCCTTACATCCAGCCTCTGGTAACCACCATTTTACTCTCCACTTTCGTTAAGTCTTACTTAGATTACACATATAAATGAGATGGATTTATCGTAGCATCTTAATTGGTCAGTTACTCCTAATGTTCCTGCTACCCACTGCTCTTTTCTCCCAACCCCACCTTCACCAGCAATCAGAATGACTTTTTAAGTATAAATTTGATCACAGTGAACCCCTACTTAAAAACCTTCACAGGCGCCAGGGAAGGGTGATACATGTCTATAATCCCAGTAACAGGAGGCTGAGGCAGGAGGATCACAAGTTTGAGACTAGCCTCAGCAAAATAGCAAGACCCTCCCGTAAAATAAAAAATAAAGGGACTGAGGTTGTAGCTCAGTGGATGAGCAATTGCCTCCCATGTGTGATGCACTGGATTCAATTCTCAGCAGCACATTAAAAAATAAATAAATAAGTTGTGTCCATCTACAACTAAAAAAAAAAAAAGAATTAAATTAAAAGGGCTAGGGATATAACTTAATGGTAAAGTGACCCTTTTGATCCCCATATTAAAAAACAAAAAAGAAAGAAATCTTCATAGGCTAGGGTGTGGGTTAGTGGTAGAGCACTTGTCCAGCCTGCTTAAGACCCTGGATTCAATCCCAGCACCCAAAAAAAAAAAAAAAAGCACAGGCTTCCCTTTAAAATTAAATCAAAGACTCTTATTTCATTTTTATGTGGTACTGAGAATCTAACCCAGTGCCTCACATGTGGAAGGTAAGCACTCTACCACCGAGCCACAACCCCAGCCCCAAATCAAAGACTCTTCAACATGATCTACAAGGACCAAAATAATAACTTGGTCCTTGCCTATCCATCACTGTTTTATCTATTCTGTAGTTACAGATTATATAGCTCCTTATATGAATCAATCGTTTTCCTACTAGAGGTAGGCTATTCTATTCTACCTTCCCCACTACCACCGCTAACCTCACTTATTTTCACAAAGCTGGATCTGCCACTTTCTTTCCTTAGAAAGGCTTTGTCTAACTCTCAGACCTAACCCATTTCTCTATCTCATAGCAACCTGTTATTTTCCTATAGAAGTACATATAAAAGTAAAGCAGTGGGCTGGGGTTGGGGCTTAGTGGTAGAGTAAGCTTGCATTGCAAGCGTGAAGCACTGGGTTCATTCCCTGGTACCACATAAAAAGAAACAAATAAAATAAAGGTATTGTGTCCATCTACAACTTAAAAAAAAAAAAAAAGTAAAGCTGTGTTTTTTACTTAAGGTCTACCTCCCCGAAAAACTTCTTCACAAAACCAAGATCCATGTCTATTAATACCAAAAATTTAAGTATCTAGAAGTATCTAATATAGAATCACATTCAATAAATATTTTTTAGAATGAACAAACCAAATTCACAGTGTTTTATAAATGCTACAGTGGAGATTAAATGAGGTACTATGAAAACACTGTGAATAGAATCACAACTCTGACTAATGAGCAGCTGGGTCTTATGAATAGAATTTCTGAAAAGCTAGCACTAGTGGTACTTCATTCTGGCTAGAATCACTATCAGGTCCCACTGCATATGAAACATATCAAAATCTCTAATAATGGGTCTTAGGCATGTGTATTTTTTTAAGCTTCCCAGATAATTCTAATGCAAGAAAAGCACTAGGCAAAGGAAAAAAATAAGCGAACATATTGCATAAAGGGGGACTAGCTTGACCAAAAGCACAGGAATCAAGAAAGGACATTGCATAATAGAATAGTAATCAACAAAAAAATAAATAAATAAGTAGTAATCAACAAAAATAAATAAATAAATAAGAAGTGATATAAGATTAATTATAAAGATAAATTGAGGGGTGGGGTTATGGCTCAGGGGTAGAGCACTCGCCTAGTATGCGTGAGGCACTGGGTTCGATCCTCAGCACCACAAAAAAATAAAATAAAAAAGGTATTGTGTCCACCTACAACTTAAAAATAAATGTTTAAAAAAAAAGGTAAACTGAGGGTAAATTATGGAAGATCTTAAATGACTCCTTAGGACATTACCCTCTAAACAAATGAGAAACTGAAAGACTTTTAAGCAAATGAGAGATATGCAGAGCTTAGAAAAATAACTTCAATATTGGGATGAATAGATGGGCGGAGCTAGCTGTAGGCTCAGAATGCGGCTGATGTGCTCTTCTCCAAGGTGGAACCTGCTGGCGTCCGCTACCCGCACCCCTTCCTTGCCGGCCCGCACTTTGGCGCACAGTTTTGCCCAAACCTCGAGAACAAGTGATCAGCTTGCCATTCTTGTAGCATAACTAGTTCTGATGGCTGGGAATAAAGGAAGAGGTCGCGCTGCCTATACCTTTAATATTGAGGCTGTTGGATTTAGCAGAGGTGAAAAGTTACCTGATGTAGTGTTGAAACCACCTCCACTATTTCCTGATACAGATTATAAACCAGTGCCACCGAAAACAGGAGAAGGGGAAGATTATATGCTGGCCTTGAAACAGGAATTGAGAGAAACAATGAAAAGAATGCTTTATTTTATTGAAACACCTGAAGAAAAACAAGATATTGAAAGGTATAGTAAAAGGTATATGAAGGTATACAAAGAAGAGTGGAAAGCAGATTGGAGAAGACTCCCAAGAGAGATGATGCCCAGGAAAAAAAGCAAAAAAGCAGACCCAAAATCCAAAAAGGCAAAAGATACTGACAAAGGTACTTTACTCGCTAATACTGCAGATGTTTTGAAAAAAATTGAGGAATTGGAAAAGAGAGGTAATGGTGAAAAATCAGATGAGGAAAATGAAGAAAAAGAAGGAAGCAAAGAGAAAAGTAAAGAAGGTGATGATGATGACAATGACAATGAGGATGCTGCAGAGGAGGAGTATGCTAAAGAAGAGCAAGAGGAGGAAAATGGCTACATTAATTCATATTTTGAAGATGGAGATGATTTTGGTGCAGAAAGTGACGACAACATGGATGAAGCAACCTATTAGCCATAAAATTTCTCAAGAAAAAAATTAATGATTATATAGCTTCTAAGCAGTTGGACAGACTTGATTTATGTTTTGTTGGACAAATATTTGTTACTGAAATAGTCATAATTGCTTTTATACATTAGTTACCTTTTAAAATTTATCTGACACTCTGACATTCCTCCTTAACAACTTTGCCATCCCTCTTGTGTATGTTAGTGGATTTTTGTATTATTTGGATTTGATTATGCTAAAGAGTTTTTGCATCTCTTAATCTATGTATTCATACATACTTGAACAACTTATTCTTGTTTAACTGATCTTTTTTGTAAAATTATTACTAGTTGTAATGGATTTCTATCACCTGAAGATGATTTAATATAGCACATGGAGCACTTTAAAAACAAAGAAACTTGAAAATTATCTTTTACGTGCTATGTTCTATACTATTACATTATGACTCCTTAAACCTGCCTGGGCTCTTAAAGTACAAACTTATAAGATTGGAGGTTTAATGTTCAAAAACATACATGCAGGGAAAAAGGTCAATCTGATCTATTTAAATTTCACATTTCACATGTCAGCCAGTACAGAGAGGCTTTCATTTGGGATGAATATTATAAATACTTGAATTTGGGGCTAACTTCATACCATACAAAACATGTTAGTGATCCTCTGTAGTAAGTTTGACATGTTTAAATAGTTGGGCTTTTGAAAAATTAGACTGAAACATCTATCTTGTTTATTACTTAAGTACATAAGTCCTGGTTATATAAATTTCATGGTAGAAAGCATGAGTGTGAATTTGGTCTAGTGTAGTGGCCTCTATTATGCTTCACAGGACTCAAAGGCTGTATAGTTGATTATAATATAGAATTAACTCAGGTCATTAATCTTTTTTGTTTTAACTTAAAAGCTAGCTCCCTGCCATTTTATATTCTGGGGAGAAAATGCCTAGAAACCTCAGCCTCCAAAAACTTAAATATGCCAAAGATTTTCAAGGAAATTCATATAATAGATTTCAAAAAAAGACTACTTCTCATTACCCACCAAAAGAAATGAAGAAAATTTATTTTTACCTATTGGGAAGATATTACTCATTACCCACTAACCTGAGAATCAGAGCCCTAAATTTTATTTCTACTGTAATATTAAGTTCAACCGTGAAACTTAACTTGATTAATTTTCTGTGCCTTAGTTTTTCCGCTTGTAAATTACTTCCTATAAAAAGTGTTTAAAACTAACCATAATTTACCATGTTTATATTCTCTTACTTTAGAGAAATAAATGATCATATCTTAAATTTGATTCTTATCTTTTAAATAGTTGAAGCTTAGAAAGTGACTGAAAAACATTTGAGAAACAAATGTTTTCCTCATAATCAGGTTTTCCCATCTTTCATTTATGGGGAAAATTTGTATTGTCTTGTGCAATTTTGCAACATGATTGTCTCAGGAAAAAGATCATTTTCAATCACAATACTTCCTCAAATAATTCAAGATGGGTATGAGAACCCATCTTATTAGTTTAATGCTGTACTCATAGTATGTGACTTCTCATTAAAGGAGTGTATCAAAAGATCTTAAGAGAGTGTATCAAAAGATCTTAAGATTCTAAATGGAAATATGAATAAGGCTTCTTTAAAGCTGCAATCTATTAGAATAGAAACCTCATATGAAGTTTTTAGTAATAATGGCAAAGTTGTCATTTGGGAATAATTAACTTAGGTGTTTTATTCTCACTTCCTTTGGTGTACCACAGCCAAATACCATTTTGTTTATAGAAACCTTATTTCTATATTTGTTTACTTCCTTTATTATAAATGTGCAGATCAAAGCTTGAACCAAGCAAATACACTGAAGGTAAAGGTATTTCTTTTCCTAGCTTTATAGTTGTCTTTATAGTCCTAAAGATAGTTAGGCCAGCACCTTTGGACAGGGATTTACTCTTGAGAGGTCCTGGCCATCTCTCATTTAAACTTATTTCCCCACTTTGGAACAACTTTTTACAATTTTAAAGTATGCTAATCATGAGATCAGATAGGGTCTGAATATTGCTTTACCAGCACAAATCATCTTTTTCTGGTTGAAGATCTGAGACTGTGAAGTTATTCCACAGGAAGGCAAGAGATAGCTTAATATATACGTGTGTGTGTGTGTGTGTGTGTGTATGTATGTACACATACATACACACACACACACACACACACACACATAAACACAAAATACTTATTGGTGATGTGTGTTTAAAATTATTATAACAAGCAAACCTGGTTGCTGTAATGTTTATTTTTTCTGTATTTAACATTAAATTCTTAAAAAATTTTTTAAAAAAATATTGGGATGAATAACAGTAGGAAGACTCTAGAGGCAGGAAACAAGGTAAGAAATTATCTTAATAACCTAAATTTTTAAAATATAAAAACAAAAAAGAAGCAGAGGGAGATACATCTGAAAGGAAAGAATGAATTCATGGTATGTGACTACAAGTTGAACACAGCTAGTACAGCAAGGGGAGGTTTCTAGACCAAACAACTCCATCAAAGGACATGAAGGACACAAAAGGAACTACAGTATGGAAAAAATGGTTTTAAAAAGTTAATGGGGGTGGGGACCGCAACGGATATAGCTCAGTGATAGAGCACCTGTTTAGCTTGCATGTGGCGCAGGATTCAATCCCTACTAACAGCAAAAAAAAAAAAAAAAGTTAATTGGAATCTGAGAAAATTCACGTACCTATTAGGAAAACTACACGAATAACCTAACCTGTTAGAAATTTGAATCTAATTAGACTGTTGCAAAGTTGTGAGACTTTTGTATTTAGAAAGTAGCTGAACTCCTGGGAGAAAAATATAAATCTTCTTGAAGGAAAACACACATTTAAAAGATAGATAAAAAGAGCTTCATAATTACCTATAAGGAAGAACAGGCTTTTTGTCCCATTTGCTTTTGTTTTGTTTTGAAAGGATAAGAAAACTGAGAAGTTCAAATAGTTTTAAATGGGTTGACCAAATCACACAAGTAGAAAGAGGCAAAACCAAGACTAGAACCAAGGGGTTTTAAAATATATCCACTATGAAATCTTGTCCAGCATGCTACTAGTACAGGCTAACAAGCTGGACTTCATGGGATCATATATCAAATATTTAGTCAAGTCTTTATTTTAATAGGATTAGAAGACTTCATTTTTCTGAATTACTCAAGAATTCTGGGGACCCGTCAAACCAGTGACTTGATATATAATATCAACAACTGGAAGTTGTGTAAAATTTTTTTTGTGCCTGGAATCTGAATATTGTAAATTTTACCAAGGAGTATCCTTACCCTTTGAAAGATAAGCAGCATTAGACAGCTGATAATAAGTAAAAAAGAAATAATAAAAGTGAATGTAGAGACTTACAAAGTTTCAAAGACTATTCAAAATAGGGGCAGGCTGAGAAGATCAGATAATATAAATTAAATTCAACCTAAGAATAAAAATTATTGTCTCAAGTCAACTTTCACAAAGCCGAATTCAACTTGAAACAGAATTAAACCCTGTACATTATATGCAAATAAACATGCCATTTTTTTCACAAATCTTTTTCTTATACAGTTATTTTTAAAACAAATACAGAAATTACCAAAAATATTTCCAACATACCCTAATTTTACAATGTGATAAGAGCCCCCACATTGGCTGTGCACAGGCCTCAAGTTCAGCAGCAAAGGCAGCATAGTAGGTCTGAGATTCAAATTCCACATGCTCATTCAGTTCTCGCTTGTTTAAGTTCATACCTTACAAAAATTAAAGCATACATAGGTCTCATCAAACAGAAGCAAGAATTCAGGTTAAAAAGCAAGTAAAACATTTCCTAGTACCCAACACAAGTTGACACACACAATTACAAAAATTGCATAATACATACAGAAATAAATTACTTAAAATGAAATAATCTAGAACTTTAAAGTTTTTTCACAAACTATGTTTTCTTGGACAACACTTTGTGAATGTCTCATATAACAAATGGGTATCTTTAAATAAGGAAGAATCTTAACTGATGCTAGTTGAAATTTTTATGGAAGACTAAATTTCACATTTCTAGATTAATGGTTTGAGATGCTAAAAAAAAATTACACTCTTGGGCGAGGGTGTGACTCAGTGGTAGAGGAATTGCCTAGCATATAGAAGACCTTGGATTCGATCCTTAGCACCACAAAAAAAAAAAAAAAAAAAGTTTCCTTTTTAATTGTTTCCTTATTAATAATTCAACAATTATTTTAGTGGATATATTTCAATTTTTTTCTTAACTCCCTGGTGTTTTTATGAACTTATAAAAGTTCTTATAAATAACAATTAAAATAATGAGACATTTCAATTGTTAAATACTATTTAATAGTTTAGCATGAGACATTTGTGAACCAAAAAAAAAAAAAAATTTAACAAAAAGATTAAATTCATACCTTGAAAGAAAGATACAAAGTTCATCCACGTAACTAACAAACCATGGTCCTCCAAAAATCTCTTCGCCACACTTTGATGAGACAGAATATTAATAAAATCACTAACAAGAGGCCAATAAGTGTTATTCTTCAGTAATGCTTCTCCACAGTTCACCACCACATGTAAACTATTTTCTTCATCTAAAAAAGACACATACAGCCCCAAAATAAATAACTTTAAAAAAAATTGCCAATGATACAGAATGTTACACATCTTAGAATCAGAAGCATCTAAATTCAAATCCCAGCCTACCATTTAGTACCTATTTAGCTCTAAGTGTGTTGGACTCTCTGAACCAACTTCCTCATTTGTAAAATGGGAAAAAAATATATATTTTAAAAGATTAAATGAGATGTTAACATAAAGAACTTGGTACATTTTTATAGTAATTATTATTGCATATTGAGCTAACCATATGCTCATAAAATATTTTTTATTCTAATAATATTTTCAGCCCTTATCAATAAGATTTTTATCCCTAGATTAATCTCATTCTACCTTAATAATCAAATCTAAATGATTCAAGTGATACATATTTGCTTTCTTCTAGTCAAGGAATACATAAATACAACTTTCTTAACAAACAATCTTTCAAAGATAAAAGACCAAAAAAATCTGTAAACCTCTCAAGTCTTTAAAAAAAAAGATCCTCAAACTTTAAATACATTGTTTCGGTGGGAAACAACTAGACTGCACAAAAATCTTTATCATTAAAATTTATTAGCACTATAAAACATACTAATACACATCAGACACAGAAGGCTCAAGAATAGTTATCTATTTCCTAGTCCACAAAATGAGGAATGTTTTTTTTATTTCTGTTTGTGCTAACTATTCTTTTTGTCATAAGTATAAAATCTAAATCAAAAGTGCATGAACTAATGAAATATCAATAAATACATTTTAAGAGGTATTATAGAAACTGGATCACATGTTTTTGAGAGGCAATAAGTATGGGGGAGGGGAAAAAACCTTATAGCAGAAAAATCATAAAAGCCTAGATGTATTTTACACTCAGTTTGCGTCACAACGACCTTTACATTCTAACTTTAAGGAACTGAAACTGGAATTCACATATGACGATATACAGATATAGTACATACAAAAAAGATGAGATAAAACTCCAGTCAAAGAAACTATCCTGAAAACGTTTTGTCCAAATTTAAAAGACTGAAGAAAGAACAATGCATTTCTGTGTTTCAAGTTAAAATATGATGTTTAAGGTACATATTTTTATTTGTTTGCTTTTGTTTTTTGTACTGGGTATTTAACCCAGGGACATTTTACCTCAGCCCTTTTTATGTTTTATTTATTTTTATCTTTGAGATGGGTCTCATTAAATTTCTGAGGCTGGCCTTAAACTTGCAATTCTCGTGTCTCACCCTCCTAGAAAAGCTGAGATTAAAGCATGCCACCACACCAGCTTCATGTGTGTCATTTTTAAATGATTCCTCACTTTAACCAACTTTTTCAACTATCCACCTACTGTCAAACTCATCAGTGAGTAGGTCCTCCAATGCACTTCTTAATTTCTACACATTAAGTTTATATTTTAGCCCATGGAATTGTTTTATCCAGCCCTTAAATTAAACAATATTGAAGAACAAAATCCAGTGAAGCGAAGTATGCTATCTTTTAGTACTTCTCAATGAATGAAAAAAGGTAATTTAATAAGTAAAGGAGGGGGTAGGGGTGAGGGTAGGACCCTTTCTCAAATTATCCACACCTGAGATTCTGAAAAGCAACCTCCTTATACTGCCACTTTGAGCCAATGAATCAGTGATATTGATGGGACAGTGCTAAAGGATGTTGGGATTAACACACAGAGAGAGAGAGAGAGAGAGAGAATAACTGTCCTATGTAATTGAAATCAGAAGATGAATAAGCAGAATATAACTGATCAAAATCACTATTCTCCTGACACTGCTTTAAATACTCCTGTGTTCTTGTGAAAAACGCCTTTGGGTTTATAATGAGATAATTAGAACTTCTATTTTTACCAAAATTGTTACTTTCCTCACTACAGATAAAAGCAATGATTCAGTGTTAAATGAAATTCACTCATCAACAAATATTTATTGAGAACCTACTAAGGGTCAGGTATTCTACTAATCTCTAAGAATAAAGCCAAAAAAAATCAAGATATATATTACATCTTTGTCCACTGAGCTTAACATCTAAACAAGTGTGTGGTAAGGGATGTTAAAGGGAAAATTCAAGAATCTCAAGAACAAATAAAGCTAGTATACAATTCAAGAAAGACTATCCTGAGTATGTGATGCTTAAACTGAGACCTATAAAATGTAATAAGAATTAGGATGAGCCAAATAAACTAGACACAAAGGAACAAATGGTGTTCAGGTAAAGGAGCAATAATCTCAGAGAAGGGTAGAATCATTTGCACATGCAGAAGATGGGATAATATAAATGAGGCTAGAGAATGACACATCAGCAACATTGGGAGTAATCGTGACAAGAACAGCAAGCCATTGGGGGAGGGGGTAAGAGAGAAAACATGATTTAGTTGCATAGCACGAAAGGAACTACAGGAGAGTGGTGATGAGTAGAAATAAAGAAATCTGGAGATGACACTGGTTTGAACTGTGGAACAGTAGTATAAAAACAGAAATGAATGGAAGTGGCTATAAAGATATTTAGAAAGTTAAAATGACAGAGTTGATTATGTTTGCTGTATCTACAAGAAATAAAAAAGAAGTAAAGATGACTTGCAGGTTTTTAGGGTATCTTTAGATGGTTAAACAGTGGTAAAAAAAAAACACACACACTCATATGTTCATGCACATACACATAGAATAAGTGTTTTTAAAAAAGCTTGATATAACTAGTTTGTGCATTTGAAGTGTTTAAAGACATCCAAAAATATTCCAACAACTAGTTTTATCAGCCAGACAGAAGATCAATCTGGAATTTTCAGTATCTACAGATATTCCTATAGTTATGTGATGCATGGTTTTAAATTACATTTTATACAAACTGTTTCATAAGACAAATTGTAAAATTCAGGGGCATGGCAAATCATGAGTTATGGTTGGATTCACAATTACCATGGAGTATAAAAATTAATATAACTAAGTAAAGGCAGTGAGTAGGGATCCTGTACCACTAGAAGGCTTTTTCCTTTTAGTCTAGCTATTGCTATAGTCACGTAAATTCTCATTGCATCAGCTCAATATTTACTAACAGTATAGATCAAATGTTCAAATACTGCCTAGAGGCTAGGAATGTAGCTCAGTGGTCGAGCATTTACCTAGTATTGGGTTCAATCCTCAGCACTGCAAAATAAATAAAATCTAAAATAATATTATATCATATAAAATAAAACAAAACAAAACATTATCTAATCACATTTTAAGCAAAGTCTACAAAGAAGCTATTGAAATTTTTTTTTAATGTTAAAAACAGAGATCCTGGGGCTGGGAATGTGGCTCAAGCAGTAGTGAGCTCGTTTGGCATGCGTGGGGCAATGGGTTCATTCCTCAGCACCACATAAAAATAAAATAAACATGTTGTGTCCACCAAAAAAACTAAAAAATAAATATTAAAAAAAAATTCTGTCTCTCTCTCTCTCAAAAAAAAAAAACAGGAATCCTATTGTAATATCTGTAGCTACACAATATATTTGAGGATCATTCTGATATCCTTAATGTAAAAATAGGGAACACTTATGGTGCTTTTAGAAAAGCAATACATATATATTATCAAATGCCATGCTACTATTTAAAGAGAAAAAAAGCAAAGTTTGAAGGATGTTGAAGATGTTTTTAGACACTGGCTTGGAGATAATGTAATCTACTGTAATATATTTAACACGTGACCACCTGAGTCCTGGACAATATTTGTACATAACAATTTCAATAGAATGATGAGAGTGAACATCAAATTGATGTAGGTAAACTGAGATGGGTTAATGAGTGTCTGAAAGATATAAAAAACTTTCTCAGGAAAGCTGATGATTTAAAAAAAAAAGAAGAAGAAGCAAACTCACACATCTTTTCCCCAAACATACTTCCTTAAAGACCAAATGCAAACCATACTTAAGAACAACTAAATTACTTAGTCAAAAAAAAAAAAAGACTCAGATTCTTTTCAAAACAGCAGATACTAGACTGGGGTTGTGGCTCAGCAGTACAGTGCTCACCTAGCACCTATGAGACACTGGGTTCAATCTTTGGCACCCATATAAATAAAGAAAATAAAGGTTTTTTTTAAAAAAGCAGATACTTCACTCTGGTTAGAATAGCAATCATCAAGAATCCAAATAACAATAAATGCTGGCAAAGATTGGGAGTAAGACTATAAATTGGTACAACCACTGTGGAAAGCTGTATTGATGTTCCTCAAAAGACTAGGAATGGAACCACCCATATGACCCAGGTATTCCACTCCTTGGTATTTATCAAAAAGAACTAAAATTAGCATGCTATAGTTATACACACATTCCAAAGTGTACAGCAGAACATTTCACAACAGCAAAGTTATGGAACCAGCCTAGGAGCCCAGCAACAGACAAATGAATAAAGCAAACATGGTATATTTACATAATGGAGTTTTCTCAGCCACAAAGAAGAATGAAATTATATCATTTAGTGGTAAATGAAAAGAATTGGAGAACATCATGCTAAGTGAAATAAGCCAGGCTCAGAACATCAAAGGTCAAATGTTTTCTCTTATAAGAACCTAGAGGTGGTGAGGGTAGGGAATGAAAAAAGGAGACCTCACAAAACATATGGGAGACCAACAGAGAAAAGGGAATGAGAAAGAGGGATGAGAGGAGGGCATGGAAAGTACTGAGGAAGAAAATCTATCAAAGTATGCTATGTCCATATATGAATACATCACAATGAACCTCACTTATATATAATTATAATATACTGATTGAAATAATACTAGAAGAAAGATCAGTAGATCAGAAGGAAGGAGGTGGGGATGGAAAGGGAAGATAGTAAAAAGTGAGACTGATCAAATTATGTTATGTCCAGGTACATAGATGACATAAAGAATCCCACTATAATGCATAATTATAATATATCAATAAAATTTTTAAAGAGCAGATACTTCTATTTTAAAAGTTTTCTAGTTTATGAATTAAAAATTCTATATTTGAAGCCTTTCTCTAAATATAATCCTATATAACATTAATACAATTAATGACAGATACTATTTCAAAAAGAAAAATCAACAAATGTAGTTAAATCTCTAAGAAAGAAAGAAAAGGTCATGCTACATAAAGTCAGAAAAACTATAATGTAAAGTAGCTTTTAAATTTTTCTTTAAAAAAGTAAAGAGGTATATTGCTTAATATAAACAATACATTATGTTCCCACTACACCTGCACAAAGAAGGCAAAATCATATCATGGGTAGAAAGAGCATGGGCTTTTAAGTCAGACACTCAACCTTATCACTTAGAACTATATGACAGAGACCATGACTTCAATCACTAAGACACAGTTGCCTCATCTATAAAATGGAGTCAACAATATTTGCTTCATAGAATTAATGACAGTTAAACAAAATAAAGCATAAAAGTACTGAAAAAAGAGCCTGACAGATGGAGAATGTTCAAAAGATGGTAGCTATCATAATTAGCCAGCTATTATTACATATAAGGCATTAAGTCTTACAGTGAGCATATATCAATTTTTAGGATACAATGTCATATCTGAATACAGACTGTGAGTATATTGAGAAAATAGAAGCTAATATGAACAAAGGTACAACAGTGGAACAAGGCAAAGCTCAACTAAAAAAAATCTCTCCTCCCCAAAGAATGGGTGGGTCCTATGACTTAATCTGATATTGCTTATTATTTGTTTGTTTTTAAGTTTAGCTCCAGGGACAAATAAATGAAGACAACGTCTTCTCATGTGATTGTGCCAAGGTGAAAAGCAAAGGTTCTCACCTCAGGAAACAAGAAATCTTCCTTGGCTCTGTCATTTGCTAGCTGTATAATCTATAGCAAATGTCTTAATTTTCCTAAACTTCAATGTACTTATCTTTAAAGTGATGATAATAATGCCAATCTCAGAGAGTTGTTAAGAAGCTTAACTGAGATATTATATGAATATTCAACACAGTGCCCAGTACATACAAATATTCAAGTAATATAAATTATGTAAGAGAAGTTAAAATGAAGGACCACTGAGAAATAAGAATGGGCAAAGATAGGGCTGGGATTGTGGCTCTGCGGTAGAGCGCTCACCTAGCATGTATAAGGTACTGGGTTCGATCCTCAGCACCACATAAAAATAAAATAAATGTTTAAAAAAAAGAACAGGCAGAGATAGAGAAATATATGACAGGTCAAGAAGTTTACCTTGTAGTTCACTTTTAATAAGGCAACTTTCCATCATGTATAATAGTACAGTGACCATAATATCCAGGAGCTGACATTCTTCTGTTACCTGTCTAGCTAGCTCCTCATTGCTGAACAACTGAACACTAATATGCACAATTCTATTAGACATCGTGTCTGATTCATGACTTTTCTTCAGTGTTTTCATAATGAAAGCATAATGTTGAACAAAAGTTTTTGTAAAAGCAACCTGTAAATAGGGAAGAAAACAATACATTAGTTTAACTGAATTTAAAATACAAATATAATGTTGAAAATATTTTAAAGCTATTACTAAATTGTGATGAAATCCAAGGTAATTAAAAAATAATTCAATGATGATGGTAGTCCTAAGTCAGATTTTCCCTTTTTCAAAATATCAGCAAATATTTTGATGGTTAAAAAAATTAATTTTTAAAGCAATTGCAAACACTATGGTTTAAGAATACAGAATTTCGTTTTGTTTACAAGTATCAATTTACTAAGGTCTAAGGATATGTCTTTGCTATGTGCTGCCTACTTTGACAACAAAATCTAAAGTCTCAGCCACAAACCACATAGAGAATTTAATACTATTAAACAAGTGAGTCAGTGTGATTACTACACAAGTAAAAACTTTTATTTGATATTAAAGCAGAAAATGATCTGACTAAATGTCTAAAGTGCTATTTAGTTTACTTTTATTTCCTTCATATGCAGGATGTACATTTCCTCTGTCATAATTTTTAAGAAGAAATAAAGACACCATAACAACTATACCATGCTTTCTTTTTTAATACATTGAGGTATGTAACTTTGCCATTACCAACCACACGATACTAAATGATGAGTTCAAACCCTCTGGAACTAAAAACTTCTACCTTCATTCATACCTGAGTCAGTAACTATTCTCTTTAACAACTGTGGCCACCAACTATTAACCTTGTGCTTTTCCTAGTCTAAATTCAGCTACCCCATTAAACTTTATCATAGCATTTTATACCTTTCTTTCAGAGAATTTAGAATAATTTCTAACTACATATTTACCTCTACATTTGTGTTTTTAATGTTTGTCCCCCAGCATTCCCTTCAAGTTCTACAAAGACTTTTTGAATTTTAAAAAGAAACCTAAGGTCCTGTGTGCGTTTTGTGCAGACCCTGTAGTAGCAAGAGAATAAGCAAATGTTTTCTTATGTTATGTCAATCCTTAGATCTATAATATAATAAGTCTCACCTGAGAAATATATTTTTAAAAAAAGATTTAATGATGACAAAGCAAAGTTTAGAAAAGAAAGAAAAATTATGGATACCTTATACTCTTGATCTGGAAGCATGTTGAGTAAGAAAGTGACCATCTTCTGAGGGAATTCATACTTTATTGTCCAAAACAAAAGTTCTTCTAGAAAACTTTTATGCTTCAATACATCCATTATGGATTGATCTGCTTAACAAAAAGAAAATTCATTTAATCCTTACTATAATTAACAGCACATCAAACACAAATACCTGAAAGTATCTAAAAATTAAGGACACCCTTTCAATAATGCAGTGATAATACCAATATTAAGTTTCTATAATCATATAAATAACAAAACACTTGATCTCTTTATTTTAATATAAATTAGTAATAAAATAAGTATTAATTGTCCTTAAACACAGGCCATTTATCTAAAATTTCTACAAAGATTCAAAATATATATTGAGCATTCCTCATCAAAAATTAGGGCTGGGACAGTGGCTCAGCAGTAGCATGTGTGAGGCACTGGGTTTGATTATCAGCACCACATGCATAAATAAATAAAATAAAGATCTATCAACAACTAAGAAAAAAATATTAAAAAGTTAAAAATGCTCCACATTTTTTAGCATATAACTAGTAAATTTTATGCCAATATTCCAAAATCTGAAAAATACCAAAATTTGAAACTGGTCCCAATGAATCCAGATAAGGGATATTCAGCCTGTAACTATTCAATAATACTTAATTAAAATAATAGTAATAATTTTAAGCTAAAAATAAATATTGCTTAGGACATAATAACACCAAAATATTTCATTTCTAAAAAAAGGATATATATCTTCTTTATAAAATTCAATAATTCATCTATTTATTTAAAAGAATTCCCATAAATGAGACACTAATATCACTACTAAAGGAAACTCCTTATGTGCTGCTTCCTCTAGTATATTACTTTTCTCTGGTAAGAATATATCCAAAAACGTATAAATAATTTTAGATATGTGTACTTTTCTTCTTCACATACAGGGGAAAAGGTAACTGATGCCCTTTATTTATAAAGATATTCAAATGCAGATTAAATAGAAGGCCTATTTCTAAGAACAAGTGGCCCTCTATGAAGTCTAGGTACAGCACATTTCTGTATCTTATTTAATTCTCACAATTCACTTAGCAACCTACATGAATAAAAATTTCTACATCCTTGCCATGCTTAGTCAAAAGAAAATCTCAACAAGTATTTGATGAACTGGATAGTTTTAATACTTTTACTATCTCTTTCACTTTCTCTAACTCATATTTTTGCTCACTAATTTTTTTCCTTGAAAATGATAAGGACACAACAAATGTCAACTGTGCAGAATTAGATGGAAGATTGGGGCAGTGGGGGTGTCAGTAATATACACTTCAAAATAGTCAAGTATAGCCCTATACATCACAGTTCAAATATCTTACAGGGTAACCTTGTAGCAATTTCTCAATTAACACTATCTTAGTTCACAGTTCTATTATTAAACAATAATGTCCACACCACATCTCCTCAGGTAATAGGTCTAAAAGAGTAACAATGTAGGCTCAATATGCCATCACTTGATTCTTTTATAAAACACAGTGAGTTTACTAAATCTTGAATTGGTTAATATTAGATATGACTTTACCCCTATTTCTTTATTAATAACTAAAGAAGAAAACAAATCCCAAAAAAATCTTGTATGTTCTGGAAATAAATTCCTCTGGTACAATCAGTATAAGCAATATGTAATAAGGATTAGGTGTAAATACAATTAGAGTTTTGTAATTATTTTTCAAAACTCAGAATTTTCTTCTTGTAAAACAGAAATCTTTTCCTCCTGAAACACCATCATTCATTCCATTGGTGTGATAATGATTTAAAAACAGAAATAAACTAAGCTTGCAAGAAATGAGGCAAAATATATTCAAGGATCTATACTGACGACTCAAAGCTAAAAAGTAATAAAAGTAGGACCTAAGAGAATCAGATAACAGGAATAAAAGAATTATAACTTAAAAACAGAATATAATCAACAGCACATTTCAATACCTTATTTAATTCCCACAATTCACTTAGCACCTACATGACTAAAAATTTCAGACTACCAAATTAAAAAAAAATTCCTAAATAAATGCTCCTTAACATATTCACAAAGCTGAACACAACTAGTGCTATTAATCTTAGAATTCATAGTTATGTCTGCAAGCCTGCATTAGCCAAATGAAAAGTCTGAAGCCACCATCATTACTAATTGGCATGTACTTAGAAGGAAAATACATTAACTTTGTTTTAAATCAACAATCAATCTGAATGCACCCCAAAAAGTTCTGACTTCTCTTAAAATGAGAATAACTGCAATTATGAGGAATTTAATTTCTTTATCTTCAGGAAGGAAAAAAATGCAATGTCTTTGTTGATTTTCTTAAAATGGTGATGTCTGTCTCACAAGATTTTAAAGCATGTGTTATATGTTTTATGTGTAATATTATGGAATGTGATTAGAAACGCTTCTATGATGGGGCTGGAATTGTGGCTCAGCGGAAGAGCGCTCACCAAGCACGTGCAAGGCCCTGGATTCAATCCTTAGCACCACATAAAAATAAATAAAATAAAGATATTAAAAAGAAAAAATTCTTATATGACTTATCTGATCATATACTTTTAAAATCTTGTCATGACTTTTAACAATGCCTAATCTGCCTTAAGTTAAAATGTAAAAAGATATTTCTAAACAATCAGTGCAGTGTAAATGCATAAGTAAGGCAAGGTCTTAACTAGACTGAGGATCCAACCTCTGCAACCTCACTAACTCTTTTTCAGTAATCTTAACCATGTTAGTTAACACATTCTAAGCTTCAGTTTCTTCATCTTTAAAACTCAGGCTATGAATATAGACTGTGACTTAGTACTTGGCCTCTTGCCTTTCATTACATATTTTATTTCAGTTCACATGCAAATGTTGAATCAAATTCTTATAAAAACTAAACTACCCACTAAACTTCAGAAATCATTCTTCAGAAGAAGAGCCTATAATGAAAATGCCCACTGCTTTCACCTTTCCAGGTAGTCCTATAAATGTCTCAATACACTTAATCAACAGCAAAAGAAAGAACTCTTTTCATCAAAATCATATTTTAACCATTAGAGACTCTATAATAGACCGCATTAACCCAAAAAATGGATCATATTACAATTTAGACATCCCTGGCAAAAATTCAAAGCACAGGTTACCCACTAATGAGTCAAGAAAAACAGTGGTTAAAAGTTTAGGCTCTAGAATTTGAATTAAGGATTTATTTCTTATTAGCTGAGATCTCTAACATACCTCCATTTCCTCATTCATAAAATGGAAGTAATACTAAAACCTACTTCATAATGGTTACTTTGAAAATTAAGTCAAATAATACAACAAAGTGCTTAGCATTGTATCTAGCACATATAAAACAATTTAATGAGTATGGTAACCCTGTAATCTCAGCAGTTCGGAAAGCTAAGGCAGAAGGATCACAAGTTCTAGGACAGTCTCAGCAACTTAGTTTCAAATAAAAAGGGGTAGGGATGTACCTAATGGTAGGGCATTCCTGGGTTTGAACCCCAGTACCTCCCCAAAAAAGAAAAGCCAATAAATATTTTACCCATTATTACTACTAATCTATTCCCTTACTGTAGGCATATCTACCTCTTGCTTTGACTAAACACGTTTAGTTTTTCATGAGCCTTTACTATGTGTTTAATGCTATTCATTCATTGCCATTGTACATTGTGTTTCTGTATTTCTCCCCCGTTTCTCCTTTGCTCCTCCTTTCCACTTTAGAAAATGCATACTACAGATTATAAAAAGATGAAAACCAAACTAAAACTCTACACCAAAAACACTGGATCCAAATCAATTAATTAATGAAAAAAAAAAACCTTCTATTTGGGGACTCACATAATGCTCGTTTTATGATAACAAACAATGAACTAAATCCTAATAGAGTTTTACTTGCTTTTGAGGTCCCTGCAACTACCTCCTAATAACACTTCCTCCATCATTAAATAAATCTAACAATATAACTGTCCCTTCAAAAAAAACTTTGATGTCACTATGGCTCTAGTAACCATCAAGTGTTCTTAGTGATTAAGGATTTTTTTGGGGGGTGGGCATTTTGCTCAAGGAAAAAACAGAATACACACACACATAAACACACTCTCTCAATTTATACCAATTATACTCTATTTATACCTTTGGTGCCACTGCTCAGTTTTACCCTCTTTCTCTTGCCCAAGCCTTGACTCCCATCCTGATCCTCCTGGAGGGGGAAAAAAGCATTAGATTTATAAATAGTCATATTCATAAATTTATACATTTTATATAAATACAAATGTGCTTAAAACATAATATTTGCATGCTTATACACATACATAATTAAACATAATAAATGCATGCTTATACACTATTAAACATATTTCACTTTTATGTATTTACTATAAAAAATCTTTTTATGCTAATTTTATTTAAATATATAGTGAAATATTCTTAGTGTTAAAATACAAAAGCTCTTAGGGCTGAGGTTGTAGCTCAGCAGTAGAGCACTTGCTTAGCACATGTGAGGCCCTGGGTACGATCCTCAGCACCACATAAAAATAAATAAATAAAATAAAGGTATTGTGTCCAACTACAACTAAAAAATAAATATTTTTTTAAAAATACAAAAGCTCTTAAACTTAACCTATGCTTCTAACTGAAGCTTCTTAAGCACCCCAAAATGCCAAAATAAAAATTTTCCTAACCTCATATACATGACAATAATTACACTCAGAAGTTAAGAGAATAGGGAGAAAGTTTACCATAGAAAGAAAGAGAAAAAGGGAGAGGACTAAAGTAATGAATAGGATAAAAGCTTCAAAGAGTTTGAGACAAAATGAATTCAAAAAATCAAATTCTGAAAGAAAAAAACATAACGCATTATAAGCTGGAGTTGACAGTTTAAAAATAATAGAATAATAATAATAAATCAAAATACGCCTAGGAAAAAACAAAGAAGGAAATATAGGCATTTTTGTTCACATGTGATACATGCATTCCTGAAAAACCTCACACTTAAAATAACAAGGATTATGGGAGAAAAAAAGGTGAGGGGAAAACCACTCACAACCTACTCAAGTTTGTAACCAAAGAAATAATAGAAACAATAACTGGTACCTGGGGAGATCATTTGTATGCCCAGGCAAACACCTTGACATGGTTCAGGCTGTCTCAGAGGATGCTGACACTGCACAACAGCAAAATGGGCATCAGCCAGATGAGACAACACATAAGGAAGAGAAGCAGATGCAGGAGCCTGCCACTGTGAAAATCATATAAAGCTACAGGTACACCTATTTAGGGAGGTAGTTCTAGGTATAAGGGCTCACTTCTAATTTTCTTAAAATGTTATTGGAAAGGCTTCTAATATCTTTATAATAGAGCTCAGGATTTTCCTCTTCATCTACAGGTTATGATTCTACCCCAATATTCCATCTCTCCTAAATCAGGAATTCTACATATAAAACAAAAACTTTCATTTTATACTTCCTTTCCCTATATTTCAAATGCATATCAGTCAACTGGTATTATAAGACATATGTGTTAATATTTTGGAATAGATTTAGTTAGAACTGTAATAAAAACTTCCAAATACTTTCTCAATCAGAGTTGATTAAACCTCCAAAGTAGAAAAGTAGTCTGAGCTTCCTGCTACAGCTTGATTTACTGGAGTTGCTTCTTTGGCCTATACTTCATATCCTTTAAGAGGGTTTCTGTCAAATCCAACATCATTCCTCAGGGTTATTCTCTAGGTTTTCTGGAGCTACCATTTAGCTTATTTATTCAGCATTTATTGAGCACTTCAATATTCCTGCCCTGTTAATCCCTCACGTTGTCCAGTCTCTATGGCTATCAACCTGGCAGCAAGACTATCAAACTACACTCTCCTCCTCCTCTACCACTCTAACCTTGCCCCAGGAGAAATTCAGCAGAATGAAATTTGGATTCTTGACAGACAGAAAAATGTGAATATCATGCCACAGGGCCCAAAGAATTCAGATTTAAGATTTCAACTAATAGCAATTTATGAAACTATTCTCCCAGACCTGAGACAAAAGACAAAGTTGGAAAAAATATGTTAAGTCCCAGGTTAGAATCACATCATAAATTTCAAAAATAAACTTCCCTTGTAAAAAGTATCCTTAATCCAGTAATGGCCATGGCAATATGAAGTTTTATAAATTTTCTGGCCTTCTAGTCTTAAAGAACAAGTAGAAGTAGCCAAGTAAAAGAAGGAAAAGTCATTCCGAGAAGAAAAGAGATGGCAGTTTTTTGCCTGTGGTATATTGCTTGTCTAATACAGACAAGGCCCTGGATTCAGTTCTTACCATCAAAAAAAAAAAAAAAAGAGGGGATGTGGCTCAATGGTTAAGCACCCCAGGGTCCAATCCCTGGATAGGGGGGTGGGGATGTGGGCTGGGGGGATAGGAGAGGAGAAAGAAGAGAAGATAAAGAGGAGAAAGAGCATGAACTAAGATACAAAGACAAAAATCTGGAGACATGGACCACTGGATTGGACTTAATATCATGGTATGCAAACACAACTAGGACAATAGATTATCTTCATCTATGGTGGTGGAAAAATTAGTACTCTTGCACACTGATGGTGAAAGTATATAGTACAGACTTCTGAATGACAAGTTGATAATATATGTCAAAACTCCTTTTTAACACAGAAATTCCAATTCTAAGAATTTTTCCTAAAAAAGTAATGAGACAATTGAATAGGAAGTATGTACATGACTATTCATAACAATATTATGTATAAAAGCAAAAGAAAACAATCTCTGGCTTTTAAGAGAAGATGAATAAGTAAATAAAATATAGCACACCTGCACCATAAAAGAAAAAACAATGCTAGAACTCTATATTCATTGTTACCAGATGACATTCAAAAAGCATTACTGTGAAAAAAGCATATTATGTAAAATAACATATGGAATAAGAAATCATTTAAGTAATCTACACAAATAAAATGTTAACATATTCATTATAGTCAAAATTATCATTGGTGGAAAAAAATGATACAAGACTACAGCATGAAACCATTAAAATAGTCTATGTATTAAGATCTGTTAGAATGCAAATGTTTTATATATATACATATATATATGTATGTATATATGTGTGTATATGTGTGTGTATGTATGTATGTGTGTGTATATATATATTTATTTGTTTGTTTGTTTATATTCATGAAGTTCTTCTGATATGCTGACCTCTGAAATATTTTTAATTGTCTTCCCTTTCAAAGTGACAAATGTGGTTTTGCCAAAATGGTTTGAGTATCTCTGAGAGTAGACTACATCTTGTCCCCTCTTGGCCAGGATTCTTTATTCTGTTATACTGTGACAGCACCTAGCCTGATGTTCAGAGTGCACAGTGAAATGTTCTAGACTACAAATTAAGGTATAAGTCCTTATGTACTTTTCCTTAAGAACTTAAAATAGAATGCAGATGTTTATAATGAGTTACTCTACGTGACAGAGTTATAGCTCATTTTATCATCATTTTTAAATATTTATTTCCTATTTATTCAACAATATGGGTTGTAGTTTTAAGTTAATAAATATTTATTAAGAAATACTGCCTTGATTTCTAATCTCAATCACAACAAACTACTCAAAATGATGGACTACTGTGTCATCTAAATATGATATTTTTATTTTGAGATAGAACAGAATTAACTCCCAAAGGTTGGAATTTCAGACACTAAGGAAGATCAAAGCAAAAAAAGTCATCATGACCACAATTTTCCATCCTTTCAAATTCATTATTGGGAAATGAAGTTCTTCCCATTTATCTATGAGGAAACAGTACAGGACACTGGGAAAAGAGGGTCTAACTGATAAGACGAAATAAAATGCGTACAATCCTGACTCAGCATTTGTACAGGCCCCAGACTTTTTTTTTAATATTTATTTTTTTTAGTTGTAGTTGGACACAATTTTATATATATATACACACACACACACACACACACACACACACACACACACACACACACACACAGCAGGTATGCTATACTTTATTTACTTATTCATCTTCTCTTAAAACCCAGGGCCTTGCCTACACAAGGAGAGTGCTCTACCGCTGAGCCATAACCCCAGCCCCCTTCCAGAATTTTACTAGTCCCTGGGGGCAAGGCACCATTGCTGCAAGTGTTTCTGGGACAAACTATGGACATAGGTGCAAATTATTTTAGAGAAGAGACAATTAGACCTGAGACAAGAAAAACATATTCAACTACCAGTCTATAAAATCCCTATATAATATATTCATTATAGCAAAACAGTTATCATGACCACAATAAAGAGTTTCTCAATTCAAATTAGTCCTTTTTTTCTTTGATGAATTATTAGGCAAATGAAAAATACAAACCCCATAAAAAGAAGTCAGGTAAATTCACAGCCGATTAAAATAATACTCAAAAAAAATGAGACTATTTAATAAAAATAAAATCCAAAAGAGATCTTGAAAAACTGGAATAAAATAAAACTTAAAGATTTAAGTAAAGGGGCTGGGGATATAGCTCAGTTGGTAGAGTGCTTCCCTCACATGCACAAGGCCATGAGTTCAATCCCCAGCACCACAAAAAAAAAAAAAAAAAGATTTAAGTAAACCACTGTAATCTGAGACTTTAAAATCAACTTTACAAGAACAAAGGAAGCTTTAACTTGTTAGTTGTAAACTGGAAGGGGAGGGGAGTGAACACCCTAGGCATTTTATTTGACCACTGTGGCTCCTGCCAACAGTTTAAAATAGCTACTAACAGACTAGCAAAAAACTTTAGGCCTAAATGAAGGCACAGTATTCTTATCAAAAGATGTCTCTTTACTGTGCACAGAACCAGATCATAGATTTTAAATGGAAATGAATTTACTAAATAGATGAAAAGAAAAAGCTATGCACAACAGAGAATATTAAATAAAGGTAGATATTTAAAGGGATATCATATGGCAATTAAAATAAAAATCTCTCTAGAGGACAAAATGTGTGAAATTATATAATATTGATAAGAAATTACTAATAATAAGAACTGTTAAACAAAGGAACAAATTGGCCCATAAACTAGGTAAGCTCACTACCACTGGAACTGTTTACAGAGAAGCTTACCAATTGTCAGGAATGTTGTAAAATCAATTCCTGCACTGGAAAAGAAATATATCAGATATGTCTAAGACCTTTCTCACCAAAAGTTTACGTGATTTTCTACCTCATCCC